AAGATTGATGGCCATAGAAGAGCTGGTACTGATGGCACATTTGTAAGGCTCAGTGAAAATGGTGAGCCTGGCAGGTACTGGAGGAGCTTTACATCATTTTTTTTCAGTATTGCTGTCCGTGGCCTGGATCTGGACTGTTCTCAAGACAAGTGAGAAGGGCAGCCAGCAGCCAACGCAGTGTTGCTCTTACAGTCCTGATCCATTGATTTGTGAAACGTGGGCTTGTTGTTGGGCCATGCGCTTCAGGGAAAGGTGAGCTCTCAGCTTTGTGTTCAGTGAAATCAGCATTATTTCTGTGTCTGATGTTGAGCTTGCAGAAGCAGAGTGCTGCCCATCGGAGTCATGGAGCTTTCCCCATTTATCCTAGGGGAGGCTCAGCTTGCAGATTGTCTTTGGGGCTGAGAGTTGGGGGAAGGGTGGGAAAACCCAGGAAATCAACTTCCAGACATAAATACAATATGGACAAGTCATAAACATTATTAAAGCAAGTCTATCCCTGCAGGGCAGGTTTTTCTTCATAATGCTTTCCTGATTACACTTCCGCAAAGCTGGGGAAGTGAATAGTGGGCTGATTATCCATGGACCACGATCTACATCAGTGCAAAACTGTTTCCATTGTATGTGAGAAGAGAACTTCGCATATTTACTGGAAGGGAATGGCCATCCTGCTTCTTATTCTGTCTTCAGATTCACAGTGGGCCTGATCCAAAACATAACTATGTCAATGGGATTCTTTGTTTGGGCTCTTCTTATGTTCCACATTACCATTGCAAAACCTGCCCTGTTTATCATCTTAAATATACATGCCATAAATAGACCCAGTATTGACACAGTTTGTGATCAAACCCCAAACTGATCCATCAAACGCTTTGGAAGTAGGCTGATCACTGTACAGGCAATGGGAAATTGTTCCAAATATCCAACATAAGTGGGGACAAACCAAACAAACCCAAACCAAAAAGGGCTGACAGTGAGATAGTAACAGAACGGTCTCTAATTGCTTTCAAAAAGCCAACAATAAAAAACCAGCCTTGAGAGAAATCCAGGTCATTTGACATAGTGTTTTCTTGGGCAGCTCCAGTCGTGATGCTCACTTGAAGTACCTGAAGTGCCTTTGTTAAGTTTCCATGTGCAGGATGGCAATGCTTGTTGTAAGAGTCTGAATCTGCTCCTTGGACAATAGCCACGAAGCATCAGGCAAAGATTTGTGTTAGCATCTGTATCACATAAAGGGCTGCTTATCCTCAGTGCGCTCAGAGCAGTAGAACGCTTTGATACAAGTGCACAAGGTGCATTGCTTTCTTTATTCGATGACAGAATTCTTCCCAACATCTTCATTAGCATTCACTTGCAATGTAATTCTGGTGCTGCAACAATTTGTACTGGAATTCTGATGGATATGTTCCAGCATTTTTTCCCCCACTATCACATTTCATCTCTCTCTCCTGTAAACTTTAGTACAAAGTGAAAGTCCTCTTATGCAATCTAAGTGTAATGCATCTGGGTATTGGTTATCAGACAAAGCAGGTCAGACAGATCTCTCTTTGCAGAAATAAAAGAAGTAGCCAACATAAAGTGGTGTAAATAGGAATTTCTGAAGGATATGCAATAGAGTAAGGGCATGACTAAGGGCTCTCAGAAAGCTGAGGGCTCCATTTTGATATCAGAAATCCAAAGTATCTTTTCTGATTTTTGTTAGCATAGCTAAGAATAAAAAACTCTCATTTCCAAATAGAGGTTTAATGCTAAGTGACACTTTGCATAATCTGCTTAGAGGGTCACTCTGTGCTCCTACAGTCCGTGCTGTGCTTCAGAAACACCAGCCCTTGTGCAATGAAACAGAGATTCCATGCAGTTACACAGAGCAACGAAGGGCATCTCAGAGATGGGCACTCCTGAAGGGCTGTTGGTTCAGGTGTTTGTCATGAAAGTCTAACACTGAGAAAGCAAATGACAGCCATCAGTGGTCAAGATAAAGCATTCGGTTGTCAGTTCCTACAAAGCGTGTGGAAAGCTCTTGGTTTGCTGGAGGAGGAAACTGTTGGGGTGCCCCCAGAGTGCTGAGAGCAGTGCCTGAGACTGCAGGGTACGTGGACATGGAAGGTTGGGGCTTGGCTTCAATGCAACTGCTTTGCTCCTTACTGGTTGAACAACATGTAAACTGCAGAGCACGTTCCTTGTGTTTGCTGTAGTGTCCTGATGAGTTACGTATTGACAGTGCTGTTTCTGATGATCTGGTGTGTTGTTCTGCTATCCCTTCAGTGTGTCATTCTGTGACAATTTTCTGCCCATGAGCAGAATCGCCTTTCCTACCTTTGTCTGCATTCTCTCTCTTCTGTTACATCTTTGCTGCGTTGTATCTTATTGCATCCTGTCCTGTCTGCTGCGCAATTCAGTAGGATTTAGGAAGGCAGCAGTTCCAAACCCTGCTAGCTCACCCCAGCTCTGTCCTGGAAAGCCCCCTGCACTGACAATGAGACATAGATCAGCCTTTCTTCCCATTCAGCCCTTGGCTTCTTTGGTAAGATGGCTAAGATGGATGCTTACTGTGATAATGGTGCTGACATTCGCTCACCAGGAATTGGAGAGAGACCATAATTTCATGTCATATAGGTCTCCAGTAACAATCAAATGCTAATGAGTGCCAGGCCATTAAAGGCCTGGCGTGCACTCCAGTAGTGTCCCACACTCAGTGTCCTCAGCCCATTATCCATTGTATCTGCTAGGTATTGCTACAGTTTGCCCCAGCAGCAGAGATGTTGCACAACCACCCAGGGCTATTCTGTTTAGGCTGAATGCCATCTTTTCTGGGCAAGTGTACAGATCGTGTCTTGAACTGTGCCAGACACACTGTTTGTGGTTCATTTTCTGCTTGTGAGCCTGGCTGAACAAAAAAGGCTATATGTATATGTACCAGTAGTGCTCATGTTACATACAATCTGACACCCAGTAGATGGTCTTTGGGGATTAATGAGGCACCCACTGCTGTACAGCGTGTTTTGGCAATAAGGAGGGCTGGTGAATCCCATGCCTGTCTTTCTTGTGTGTCCTTGGGTTTCTTTTTGGCACATACATGCAACGAAGTACAAGATGCAAATACTGCCAAAGCTTCTAGTAGAAGAGATGACATTTATATTGTTGTACAGTTTGCTGATCTAAACATACCATTGCCTTGCCTTGATAGCCCAGGGCAAGTGCTAATCAGCTTTTTCATGGGCACCATGCCATCTGAAAGGGTGAACACAAATAGAGACAGTATGTGCATCATCTAGGAGTGTTGCAAGAACACGATTCCCAGCTGAGAGGATCCAAATGTGTCTGTCTCCTGCGCTTGCATGTTGGCATGAAAGAGAAAAGTGACAGCGTTAAATATAATGTATTTGGAATAAATCAAGGTTATATTCCTTAGCTGCTTCAAGCAAGTTTTCGTTATATAGGTCACACTATCAACTGATGTAAATTGGCATAGCTTCACTTTAGGCACTGGCGTTGATGGATTTTGATGTGCTGAACATCTGGCCCCGTGTGATTGCACTCCTTCCCTGCATGGAGCTCTGCTACAGGTAGAAAGAAGCCTAAGCAGAGGTTCTGTTCATATTTTCCTCTCTGGGACATCATCAGAGGTCTAAAAGGCGACAGAAGATGAGGAGTTCGGGCTCTGATGTTGTATTTGCAGCTCTGTCACTAGTACTTGATGCTGGGCACTTTGCCCTCTTAGTACTGGCATGCCTTGCTTTACCTAGAGTCTGTATCAGTACTTTTATTTAATTAGTACCTAACTACCAAGGGCATTAATTAAGATCAGAGCTGCAACGAGGGAAATTCTGCTTGGATGTAACAGGAGAACAATAACAGAACAGGGAGAACAGTTTATAGTTGAAATGGATTCTTAAGCTGAGCCACATTTCTAGTGGAGTGTGAGCTGAAGTCTGCTAATGATTTTGTTTTCAAATCTTCAAACTTCACTTGGCTTTGGGTCCAAGATGTTTTTATTTGTAAACAAACCATGTGTTTTCTCAGAGATAAGAGGATGCTTTGGAGTTCTTGTTGTTCCTTACTGATTTACCTTAGACAATCCTCTCCCTTCTGTAAAACCAGGAGTACTGTTAGTGATCCCCTACCTGCCTCAGTTATTGTTGAAATTAAGTGATGAATATTTGTACAGTGTTCTGCATCACATTTGTATAAAGGTTCTGTAAGACAAGGCTGCACTGCTGGCACTGCAGGAGCTGCATCTCTCACGGATGGGATTTGGGAGTTAATCAACTTTGGCACAACTCAGACTTTTGCTGTTGCAGCTTTTTTTTTCTTCTTCTTCTTCTTTTTATTTATTTCTTACATTTTAATTCAGAATACAGACCAGCTGTTTGAGTGCTGTTAGCTGTAGCTCTGTCAGCCCCATCGTTGTGTTACAGCACAAAGTACCCATGTAAGAGATTCAGTGCTATTTAGAAAGTGTTGGTAAGCAACTAAATGTAATATTGAGTTGAAATTCTTTTTGTCCCACGTAGGTGAACATTGGCTGAGAGAGAAGGAATAAAGCAGTGAGTTTTACAGCAACCCAGCACAGAAGGCATGTATGTTTATTTTCCATAATTCTGTTTAAGTGTCTTTAATTCCTACATTGTGATCATTTGATTGTTTTTAAAGGAGAGCTGTGGAATCACAGCTTCAAAATAGAAGAGATTGAGAGCGACGTGCACATGAGTCTGGTCACAAACAATGAAAGTAGAAGTTTGAGCATGGAGTTGTGCTCAGTCAGCACTGTCAGCATTAAGAGAGTGAATCTGAAAGTTGGCACTTGGTCTTGTTGAACCTCCTACAGCTGGCCTCAGCCCAACCATGCAGCCTGTCTGCATCCCTGCATCAGGCCTTCCTTCCCCCAGGCACATCAGTGCTTCCTCCCAACTTGGTGTGCAGTACTTCCTCCCAGCAAGGCGTTATCTGCAAAATTACTGAGGGTGGAATGTGCTGTACCAATGTTACCTGCATTCTCCTGGCCTGGACTCACTGCTCTGTTTAGGCAGATATCAAACGTTCAGCATGTGAGCAGTGCTGAATTCTGCAGCAGTCAATGGCTCAGGAAAATGTGGAGATCACATCTAATTCCACTACTGAGTGTGAATTTCCTTCTCTTTCAGGATCTGTCAGTACTGGTGAAGTCCTTTCTCTGAACCAGACAACAGAAGCTGCTCTCCTAGTTCATGGTTGCTCCTTTCCACTGGCAAAACAACCTCAGGGGATCTGCTTTCAGGTGAGATATTCAGCATTCAGTCAATGGAAGTAATTTCTTTTTTTTTTTCCTCCCCTCTGTTGGAAGACCTTTGCTAATTGTGATCTGAAGTGATAATTAAGAGCTAGAAAACCTTTTAGCCTGTTGCTAGGCTCACAGATCCATTGCTTCTGCATAGTTGATTTTTTCCCCGTTTCTATTCTTTGAATTCTTATTCTTTCAGTTAGCTCCTGCCACATCTTGTGCCTCATTACAGCTAAAATTGAGCTCACCTGTGAATTTCACACTAAATCTGAAGGCAATACTGTGTCAGAGGGGAGTTTTGGTGGGGTGCTGGTGCTTGTGCAGGTTACAGAAGGAGAACGAAGACCAGCAGGTTGGGTTCAGTATTGAAGAATAGCATCATGTAGAGGTAACACAAAGAACTAATCAGAGACAGGAACAGAAAAAGGACTTATCTTCTGGAAGAAAGAAAGTCAGGTAGAATGAAAGGCAAACCTGAAAGCAGTGAATCTGTTTTACATCAGTGAAGGCAGAGGAGTGCCACCTGGGATTAGCTTGGCCATCAGCAGTGCTCCATGCTGCAGATAACACAAATTCCATAGCAACAAATTTTTAACTTGAAATCCCTGGCTGCAAGGGTGCACACTGACTAGAAAATGGGCTCATGTTCTCTGAAATCATTAAAAACTCACTTTCTTTAATTTTTCACCCACCATCCTGCTCAGAAAGCTGACTTATTTTTGAAGCCCTTAATTAAGCATGAAAATCTAGCGTTAGGGAGATGCTGTCATTTTCTTCCTACCCCTTCAGCAAAAGCCCCAGTGTAACGTGTTGCACTGGGCTCTGAAGTTGTAGGATGGGTTGCTGGTGATGAGCAGCAACCAAACCTGCAGCACATGCCCAAGGACTTGCAGTCAGATGAGTCACATGTTGTATGGGCCAAGTTTAATCCCAGAGAGAATGTTACAACACAGGAAGAAAGCCCTGAAAATAACAAGAACTGGTACAGTATTTGGACCGTAAACACAAGTTAGAACAGTCTGGGTATTTGCTCTAATCCTCTCTGATTCTATTTTGAATTGCAATGTTCCTATTTGCTAAACCACTTTCTGTTTTTACACTTTTTTTACTATGACATAAGGAGGAGGGATATTTTGGAAACTGGAAAACTGCCACTTGCACCAGAATGGCATGCTACTAATTTCTGCAGGTTTGTTGAACTGAGCATTGCCACTCTGTAGGCTCTGTCAGCCTCCTCTAGAATTCCCCATAGAGATCCCTACCCTCCTACAAGGCAGGCCATGCCCCAGGTGAGAGCAGTTCTGTTTGCAAGCTCTCACCTGCTTCAACTTATGTCCTTGGAAATGATGCTCTGAGTATTTGAGAGTGGAAGGGGTTGGTGTATTGATGGTTCCTCTAAGAGCAACAACAGCTCAGTGGGCCCAAACGTGCCCAAAAGACAATGAGTGCATCCTTAATGTAGCCAGGATTAAACATTAATGTGCATTTTTTATTTTTATTTTTTTTAGTTTTATCATTTCACCTGAGCAGAAATTTGGGAGAGTGGTTTAATGTCAGCTAGTGTGTTTTAATGGAGGCCTGGAAGAAGAAGAAAAAACCTTCCTGTGTCCACTTGTTTCTTAGGTACACCGCAATACCCACAGCCAGCCTCACCACTCCCAGAGAGAGTTTGTGTAAGTCCTAAAATAATTCCATTCCTCTGTCCCACAAATATTCCCATTCGGTCAGCTTTATATAGAGTAATTACTGTTTAACATGGCGGTGCAGCTGGGTCAGGGCTTATTTTGGGGTATGAGATATAAAAAGCTGTTTGTAAAAAAGAAGAAAGTGGAGGAGACCATGTTTGTCAATCTGTCATTCAAAACAAATGAGCCTGGAAACTTGTTAGCTGACTTATTTTGAAGAGGTGGCATTCATGAGAGCCACTGGCATTGGTACCAAAGGCACTCTGGGCTTACGTAGCACTTCAGTTATAGAAATATAATTGTTGGAAACAACATTCCATTCCTACATAATGGAGAGGTAGCCAGGTTTTGTGGTGGCACGTGTTGAGGGAAGGGCATAAAGCTGTGACCAATGGACACCTGGGAAGCTCAGGCGTTTTGTGGGCAGGTGCGACTGCTGGAGAAAGGCATCTTGAAGGAAGTGCTTTGGCTCCGTGCTCTCATTCAAGCAGATCTTTGCATTTTCTGTGCCTGAAGCACTGTGCACAGAGCAGGCAGCTCATTCCCACAGCTGTGCTGTGGTGTAATTAGCTCTGTTTTACAGCTGGGGAAACCAAGGCAGTGAAAGTATTGAGTTGCTCCTGACGACCTGGTGAGTCATATCTTGGATCTTGGGTTTGGGCTCAGGGTTTGCTGGCTCTTGTGCTTCTTTGCATTTTTTCAGACCGTGCTGAGTCAAACTTCCTTCTGATTGTAGTAACTTTGATACAGAGGTACGTGTATTTAATATTCACACATGTATTTTATTTTTGTGCCTGTTGACTCCATGTGTGTGTAAACAACAACAGAAAGAAAATGTGACTATGTATATGCACGTGTCATTTCTTATCTGTTCCTAAAATACAGGTGTCTCTGTGGGAAACCAGTTCCGAAGGTGTTTATTGTACAATAGTTCAGGAAGTTGAGAGGATTATATTCTCTTCTGTGGTTTCCCATGCTGGGTAGCTCGTTTCACCTCAAAAATTAGCATCGCAGTCTGGTTCACAGAAGACCCCAATATTTTTAGTAGTCATAGGAAAGAATGTGGTCCACTGGGACGGAGCAGGAGGCTGTGGATCAGGACTCAGGGTTTGGTTGTCTTTTTCTACTTATTTTATGGCCTGGGACTGTTCTTATCACTCTTCTGTGCCTCCGTTTAATAGCAAAACAGGACTAGTAACATTGAGTTACCTTGCATAGAACATTTAAAAGATGAAATTGACGTTTGGAGACCTTTTACTAGCCTTTGGCATCAGAGAAATAGAGCAGTTGCAAGATGTATTTCTGTGGTTTGGCTTTATTAATAACATGAACTCCTTCTGATATTGTACCAATGAAATGAAGCTGGGAAACAAACCAGAAGCAGATAAAGACAGAAGTTGAAATCCTTCATGAACAGTTACACAATGTACTAAGAAAGGATGGCTGTATTCTTGGATTGTAAAAATTCTGAAGTGCATACAGAAAATAGTTTTTCTTTGAAACAAAAATTAGAAGAACAGTGAAATTCCAGGGTGTTTTGAAGTGAGACAAATCTGAAAAGAGAGGTGCTGGGAATTACGCAGACGTTTCAAAATGAAAAGTTGAAAATGAATTTGAACAAAACCTTTTGGCTCACAGCGGGTTTTCTTGACTCCTCCTCCTTTGCCAGCTATGCCAGACTGCTGGTAAATGGCAGCCTGAAAGCCTTGAGGTCCAAGTGGTGAGCCAGAAACAGACATATCATGAGCAGGATTGGGCTGTGAACAGCAGTGAGCTTCAGCTTTGTTTCCTTTGCCAGCAGTGCTGCGTGCGGCCGTTGGGGCTGTGCAGAATGTCTCAGTATTGCTGTGGGACGAACAAACAGCAGAAGGTGTCTGAGCACTCTGTATCCCTGGGAAAGGTGTAGAGGCTTTATTTCCTTCCCTGTGTTTGCTGTCTGCTCATCCATTAGGCTTATATCCAAATGTTTCTTATTGTTGCTCCCCTAGGCTGAGCCTGCTGCCAGGTGGGGGTGAAGAAATGCGCATCCATCCTTTTTTCTTGTTGCAGACTCACCAACAAGGCCATTCAGGACTGAATGCATTTCCAGGTAAGGGAGAACCCCTTTCTACTTAGGTGGTGGAGGGCTCAATCAAAAGGGAGCTGATCACCATAATAGTCAAAGCAACACAGGTTGGAACATGCCAGCTTCCCCTTTGCGCAGAGTATTTCCTACACGTTCCTGGTAGGAATCTAATTGGTTCAGATAAATGCTGTTGTGTAGACACTAAGAGTAAGTAGAAAAGAAGTCTGATCCCAGGCTGTCAGGGACAGAATCTTTTTTCATTGAAGGATGCTTCTTGAATTAGTCCAAAAGAGCTCTCATTTTATTTAAGAGGTTTTTATTGATCTACAAGGCTTCGTTCATCGGTTCTGTCTTCTCGAGTGGCTGAAGCAGACTCAGCCTACGATAGGAGTTCTTATTTGAGTTTGTTTTATCAGCTCAGTTGTTGCTAAATTTCATGCTTTTCTTCTCTGGAAAGAGGCACATGGTTTAGAGAGAGAAAAAAAGTGTACATTTCCTTCCAGTCCATTAACTTTCTTTCATGGAGCTCTGTACCAGTTTGAGTGCACAATTGGGAGGAATCAAAACACAGACATCTAGACTATTACATAAGATCAAAAAGAGAACAGAGTTGTTTTGAAGCTGAATGTAATGTATTTGTCCAAAGTCATGAACGTTTTTGAGAACTCAGTACATTCTTCCTGTTCTGCCTTAGGATGAAACTTAGACCGTATCAGCTGGAGAGAGATCCCAAAATACTTGAAGCCAAATAGGTAACTGCAGACCTAATTCAAGGTCCTTACAGAGTGAGATCAAGTAGGGATTTGAACCTGATTATTAGACGGGCTCTTTTCTCTTTCTTCCTTCTAACTTCAAGGTCCATCTTGTGTTGAAGAAACCATCTCCATGGATGTCAGAAATATGAATGAATTCAGGTCAAAAACTTATTTTTTTTTAACTGATCCAACGTATTTTGTCCAACTGCTCCTCCAGTAAAAAAAAAAAGGAAATTTCCAGAGAACATTTTCCTGTCTTGCCTCATAGTTGTATTATGTTGTAACAGTCTTAAGTTATAACTCTTCCTAAATGAACCTGCTTATTGTAAAGGACAAAAAGCGCTGTGTATGTACATTGATTGTGCATATGTCCAACCACAGTGGATGGGTTTGCTGGGTTCCCCGGCCTCTTTTAGTTGCATGTTCTTCTGTTAGGAGCAGGCTGGAAGCTGGACTGAGCTCCTTCTGCTGTCAGTCACTTGCGGTCCTGGACAGAAAAAGAAACACCAGTTTTCCTTCTGTAGTCCGGATACTGAGTCACCTGTGTGGCAAAAGAAAATAGCCAAAGGGCTGTTGTTCCCTGGTGTCCCAATGTGCCTGGGGATATTTGATCAGGGAATTTAAAGCTGGAAGGCTGGGGCTGTTCACTAGTTAACTTGGTGATGCACTTGATCTCCTGGTGTCTGAGGTTCCCATCCTTAATAAGTTGTTTTATTTTGTGGTTGGTTTTAAAGCCATTGGCAACATCTGGTTGTTTTACACGGGTGTTTCAGACATGTGCTGTCGGTTCAAGGCAGCATTACTTATAGTTGGAAACCGATTGCAACTCATCTGCCTCTTCTTGTTCCAGGCCTTGACCTGGGCTGTGGTGGGACTGGAAACCATCCCAATGCTGCTGTGCTTTTGTGCCTAATAAAGTGTTTTTGTAGCTGCAAGATGAAGAAACTACTGTTCCCATGTCTCCCTGTCTGCAGGCCAGTGGTGACCAAGGAGCATGGCTGTGGAGGCTGACTTGTCACACATCATCCTGTATCTGGACAGGGAAGCTGCCCGTGGCTTTATGGATTGCTTCCATGCTGTGTGTCCACCCCAGAACGCTTCTGGAGGCCTTCAAACAAAGCATCTTCATACATCCCTGCAGGAGAGGGCATCACTTATGGCACTACAGGGAAGATCTCTCCCCTGCTATGCGCCTTCTTGTTATTCTCGCAGCTCATTGCCCTGAGGAGCACCCAAGCTGAGAATACTAGTTCAGGCGGGCCACCAAAAAGTTTTCTGCACACATCTGGATTGGTGCTGGGGCAGGATGCTCGTGGTCTTTGATTCACACTGGCTTACCTTCTGTAGAGCAGGACTGGAGCATTCAGTGCTGCCTTTCCTTGGCAGCTCACTGCAGTGCTGCTTTGCTGTCCGTCTGCCATCTACGCTCACCTCTGCGAGCGCGGCTGATGCAGCTGATCTGTGCTTATCTGAATGCAGAGGCATAGCAGCAAGAGATTTCATGCAAATGTAGCATCGTGCAGCCCTGTTCCTTCTCGCAAACTATTGATTACGTGTCTGATTTGCTCTCCCCTGATAATAGGCCATAGGCAGAAGCCAATAGGGCGAGGAGGATGAAAACCTGTCATGATCATTCGATGCAGCTGGTGAGCCAATGGGAGGAGAACACCCGTGGATTGGGTTGGGAGAGAGTAAGGCTGGGGGAACGGTCTTAGCAACAGCAGAAAGCATCTCTTTCCCCCTCCCACTGTGCAACCATACTGGAAAGTTCCTGATGATGTTCCTTAATCTATTTGTCTCGCTCATGCCAAGTTTGTACGTGATTTGTTTGACTTTGACGTGCCTGCCAGTTTACCCCTTTCTCTCCTTTGGAGAGGATAGAAGGGCATCTTTTCTTTGTCTGTCCTACCGAAACCAACTAATGAGCTCAAGGTAAAGTGATCTCATGCTGGATTCATTGCCCATGCAAGCCCTGAGTAAGTGAGTGAGTTTTGTATTGTCTTTTTGTGGTTGGTATCTTCCTTTGACATCTTTTCAAGACAGCTAAAGCAATGCAGGGCTGACACCTTGCCTAGCATGAGCTTCATGGTGTATTGTTGCACTGCAGGATAGGCAGCCTGTTGTGGTAGTGGGAGCTGTACTAACAGAGCTGTTGTGTTCCTCAGCTCTGTTAAAGAATCCTTGTATAAAGTCAGGTGTATCCCTAGCCTTCAAATCCAGATTCCCTTACCAGGCTGCTGGGTTCTTTGGTCTGGCAATGAGAAGATAAGCTTTCTCTGTGGAGCCCTCCCTGTGATCTGTGGGCTGAGAGAAGTCAGTCTGCAGATCATGCTGCCTTACCTCTTATCTTTTATCTGCCTTATAGCAGGGACTGTTCTTTCTGTCTCTCTGCCTCTCTCATGGTCAATCCATCATTGGTTTAACCAACCGAAAATGAAAATGGCAGTTAAATTTGTCGAAACCTTTTGAACATTTATTGAAAGCCAAACATCGGCACTTTCAGCACTCCCTTGAAAATGACCTTCATTGTCCTCCTCTCACCTGCTGCCTGCTTTGGCTCATAAGCATTCACACTTCTATCTCACTATTTGCATGCTGGTAATAGACATAGATTTTGTTAGTCCTGCATCTGTCGAGACGGCGGGGACAATAATAGAAGCACCGTCGGGACCAATATATACTGGTCAAAGGAGAGTGTCCAATGATGTCTGGGTCAGGGAGCCTTTAACTGCAGTGTCAGGGAATTTAGTCAGCTGTCATCGCTTCTTAATTAAAAATAGCTGAGACTCACTTACATTCCGTTGCTGTGTGTTAGCTCATTTGTCATCTTGTCCTTTGCTCTCCAGCAACACCCCAAAACACTCTCAAAAAGGAGAGAGTGCATGGAAGTGCAGCAGGTAGGAGGGCAGCTGGACGGAGAGCAGATAGCCTGTGCTGTGAGCTGCTCTTTGGGTCCTGTGGGAGTTCAACAGGATCCAAAGGGAACGGGGATACGCAGCATCACGGTGTGCAACGTACTCTGTGTGTATTTTGTGTATATGTATAAAATTAGCCTGTGTGCACGCATGTGTCAGGGAATAAATCAAGCACTAACTGTCCTGAAGTTAGAACTTTCCTTGGGGACAAACCAGCTCATATTTTTTCCATCCTGGCTTTCCAGCACCTTCCTCTGGTGCAGTACTCTGAAGGACAGAATGTTTTAACAGTACGATCCACTCGGACCTCTCCTATGTACATAAGTGATTGGATTCCTTATTCCTTGCTAAATGGAATTTAGCAGTATCTGTGATTGCTATCACCTTCCAGTAAATTTCACTAATTTATTCGTGATACTCCTAGGGGGACAGGGAGATGGGAGGTTACACAGAGGTCCAGGAGCTGCAGAGGGAGATAGATAGCATGTTGTAATATCATTACTGAACGAAAATGTAATCCCCTCCCCCTGCCAAATAAAAAAGAGTATATTGTGATTGTAGTTAATGCTTGGAGCCGAGGGACAGTTTTGGCATCAGGAGAATTTTTCAGGCTTCCTTTTTACAAGTAAATCAGAGGTGGAAGGGCATTAGGCTGACTAACTTCCTGAACTGGAAGTTGCATCCGGACTACCATATTTAATTGTCTATGATTGACCTATCTTGCATGAGTTTTGCTAATCCATTTTTGAACTTGTTTATATATTTGGCCTCCACAGCATTGGGTGGTGATGAATCCCACCATTAAATCACATATTGTTTGAAAAAGTTCATCCAGGATGTCCTGTACAATGCTATCAATCTGTCTGGTGAGAAAATGGATGGCTGTTGCCAGGGGTTGAGATTCCCTCAGCCCCATGTTGGTGGTCAATGCCCAGCAGACCACTTCCATCCTTGCACCAGACCTGCAGTGCTACAGCACCCATCTGGGGCTGCAAGGGAGCACTGTGAGCTCCTGCACAGGGTAGCTTCTGTGGTCCCACTGCTGAGCAGTGATTTTGCTGGCTGTACACAGTTGTTGCTCTCAAGGCAGCATTCACAGAATCACAGAATTGTAGGAATTCCTGCCCACGTGAGTGAAGATCCAGCGATACTTGTTGGTATTTTTGCTAATAGTGTTTATTTCCTGTTCAGGGGAAACTCACATGCAGTTTGCGGGATGAACCCAGAGGTTCTCTTCAATCTGATCGGTTTTTCCTGAGTCCTTAGGGCAGTTTGTGGGAAGAAAGAGGGGAAGACACCTGATTTGATTTTGTATTGTTGAGGGATTTTGAGTTATCCTCAGTTATACTGATCCAGGGAACAAGAAGCAACAGGTTCTGCTCATCTGAACCCTAAGTCACCAAGCTAAGGACAGACCTTCATGTTAAAGATGTTTTCAGAGTGCAGTATTTTTTTTTAAGAACTAATTAAGCTCTGATGACTTCAGCTGTATTTTCAGCTTCTGATTAAGGCCATGATACTAATTAAACTCTTGAATTATTAAAAATGCAAATAGTCAAACCTGTGTGCAACAGCAGAATTGTGTTTCCATGCTCCAGGACAGCAGTTGGGAGTATTTGGCAGAATCCCTTGTGGTGACAAATATTTCATCTCTCTTTTTTTTTTTTCCTGTGGCTGCACTCCACTGGATGCAGAACTGAAAACATGAGCTGCTGGGGTAAATGTCTCAACTGCCTTGCAGCTAGGCAAGTAAGTTTGATTAAAATACAGCAAAGTTTTGGAAGGAACCTTGGGTCTCTTAACATCATGACTGTGGCATTTTCACTGAATGGGCAGCTGGGATTGAAATACCATTTAGTCCTTTGAGAGTGAGTCTGCTGCCAGCAGCAAAACTCTTGGAGCTGCATTTAGACTGTGTACTTTGTTGTCAGAGTTCAGGAGCATGATAAATTATTTAGACCTCTAGATGTCCCGCCAGCCCCTATCTCTCTGGCTGTTAAGATGCATGCACCTTTAGTTAGGCATCTATAGCAGGAGGTCTGGTTGTGCCCTTTCCTTCAATATAGGCACGTATATTTTTTGTGGCACTGCTAAACAATGGGGATTCAGAAGGATGTTTTGATCTCTTTGCTGTCTGCATCTCATCGGGAATCAGGAACAGAGCAAGAGCCATCCCTGTGCACCAACACAGCTTTGTAATTGTGAATAGGGCTCATTTCTACTTCAGATGGATAGTGCAGACCCGCAACCAGTGGGTCTTCAGGGTCACTTAGCAGGACTTTGGGATAAGGTGGAGCTCTGCAGGCTGGGAGCTGGGTGAATAAATACTGCCTGTGACTGGCTGCCCAGTGCTGCCCTGTGCCTAGGTTGTGAAAGCAATTTCTGTGTTTACTGTAAAAGGTGCAACTCCAAAGCCTGTAGTGATACACTGAGTAATGTCCCTGTCTGTACCTTGGTCACTCTTGCAGCCCTGCTGGTAGAGGCAGTGGCCAGTGGGACTTGGACACATCTGTCCTTCCCACAGCCCTTTTGTGCTGCCATTAAGGAGGCTTGGCTAGAGCTGGCAGTATTTGCAGCTGGGATATTAGAGGGAAATGGCATAGGCAGTCTAGTTATAACCTGCCCAGAGGGAAGTTTCTTCTTAATGCCTATTTAGGTCATAATAAAGACATAAATTAAAAAAAGGTGTGCAAGACACTATTTGAATGCACCAAGTGCTTGTCACATTGAATAAACTGGGATCCCTACTGGTGTGAAGGTATTACTGTTTGTTGGAGCCACTTATCAGATAAAAATATGACCCAGTGTCTTCAGTTGAGTCCAGTCAGTGTCAGGCATGATGGGGAAGCTATGTCATTTTTGCCTTCCCTTCTCGAATGTCCCTTTAGTATGTTAAAACAAAGAAATAAGTGGTCATTACTTTACCTATGACAGTTGACTTTTTTTCATCCTCCTGCTATAATGGGCTGCAGGTGTTTCACAGCCAGCCCAAGCTAATAAGGACAGACATTCTGGCTGCAAGCCAAAATTATAAAACTGTCCAGGGAGAGAAGAAAAGAAAAGACAAGGCACAGGGGGGGTGGGAAGGAAGGAAAAAGAAAGCACGGGAGTCACTCCATGCTGAGATTTTGTACTTTTGTGTCTCCTGAAGTGAATACATCAGTCAGGAATCAAAGGTTTGGAAAGTCATTCAGCCCCTCCAAATTAGAAGGCGAGCCATCTGCCTGCCAGGATGGAGCTGTCCTCAAAGGCTGTGGGCCAGGGCTAATCTCAGTGACGCTGGGGTAAGCCTGGAGCATCTCCTCCAGAGTTACAAGCAGCTCGCCTGGCATCCCCAACCCTGGCCTGGTGCATGCATCTTCCTGCCAGAAAAGCATTTTGGACCCAACCCTTTGATGTTGTATCACCACAGTGATGGACTACTCTGCTCTAGAGCAGATGAGGAATTGCTGTGGGGCTGTCCAGCGTTCATTGGTTCTTTTTAGGGAAAAGTTCAACTCGGTGGAAGCTACGAGTGCAAGGTGCAGCACGTTTGGAGCTCTGCAGCCTCTCGTCATCTTTGGTTTTAGCAGAGTGCTGCCATCGAGTCCCACGTGCCACAGGAAATCCCTTGTGTTTCCTGGAAGTCAGAGCAATGATGGAAAATCGATGGGAAGGAAAGATGCTCTGTGTGAGAACTGATGATCCACATACGTCCTTCCAGCTTTGCAGATAATGCTATTTGGAAAGCTTGGGCTGTGATGCGAGATCCCTAAGGTGCTCCATTTTTGGGCAGAAGCCAAACAACTGCCAGGATAACGGCACAAAGGAAAGCTGGATCTGAGGCTGGCTTAGATCATTGGGCTTGAACTGCCCTAAGGCATTGTAGCTAATATGAGAGATTGGCATCTCCAAAGGTACCTCTGGCTGTTGATTGCATGAGTGCCTTGGGGATGTCTCTCACCTGAGGCACTTCAGGCAGGTTCCTAAAGGTAAGTGAGATGTGCCCAGGCCTAAGGACATGTCCTCGGGGCAGAATAGATCCCCAAGCTAGTCCTGACACAGGGTCGCAGAGATGCTCTGATTCCAGAAACTGGACTGCCCATGTAAAACCTACGTCTTCCTACATGCTGCTTGGTGTTTCTGGGTCTGGATTAGCTCTCACAGACACAACTGGGCTGTCCCTGACCCTGTGGCACAGACCTACCCGTGAGTCACATCCAGAATGATGGCAAAGGATGTTAATCACCTCACGGAATATTTTGGGTCCCCGGAATCACAGAAATGGACACATCTGAGATAGATTTACTTCAGCGGGTTTAATATGACAGATCTCTACCACAAACTTCTTATCCAGATTTGTTTGGAGCCAGAATATGGTTCAGGCCAAGTGTTTTGCTTTGTTTGTTTATCTCGGATATGGTTTTGGATGCTTAGCAGGAAAAAAATCAATGTTTATGATGTTCATTTCAGATCTCCTTTTGGCAGCTGGATGAGAAAGGAATGCCACCACAAAGGAGGGATCGCTGAGGCGAGGCTGAAGTTGTATTCAAAGGCAACAGCAGTGCTGTGCATTGCAGATGTCGTAGAATCACCACCGTGATCAGTCAGACTCTTCCCTGGAGTGACTCTGAGTTCTGTGAGTAGCATCCTGAGGGCTGAATCTGGGCCTGCATACCAATATGAAGGTGTTAAAAAAATGCTACAACTGCAGTTGGCTTGTTTCAGGAAGGAGTTACATAGCTGTAAGACTGACAAGGTTTTAAAAATGGTGTTAAGTCAAATGATTTCTAGTAGGGAAATGGTTGATGAGAAGATGCTTCAGGAGGTGCTTTATAACAAGACAAGCTGGGTCAGCTTTGGATTTTCTGCTTTTTTGGATGGCTTTTAGTTTTTTGCCTTAACCCCAATGGGCACTTTGTGTGGAAAAAGATGTGAATTCTGACATTGTTTGCAAAGTACTGAGAACGCTATGAGATCTCTGAAAAATACCAATAACAGTAGCAGTGCAGGGAACAGCAGCTTATCAAATCCATCTTAGAAATCGAGGAGTTCTTGTGCTGATTCATACCTTGAAGTATGCTGTGCTTTGATTTCTGTCTTTGGATGCTGGTAAGGTGAGATCTGGGGCAGTTCCTAAGAAACTGAATGCAATTTGGTTTCTTTGAAAGCGTTTCAAATCGGACCAGATCTGCAATTGGTGCAAGCCTGTGTCTTCAGTGGCTTCAGGAGAAGTTATGCCTTAGTCTGGTGGTCAGGATTTGAATCACACTCCTCAAAAGGTTTGATTTCTTACAGTTCCCATAACCAGGACTCACTTCTATGATAGCTTCCTGGTGCTTTGATCATTCCTTTGGTTAACTTCAACACAGTTTATGCATATTCAGCTGCTGAGAAGACCAGGTGCCAGTGTAAACCATTCACACTTCATATTTGTGGCTTACTTGGAGTCCAAAAACCTCTCAGGCGTGCAGCATTTTATAGTGCAAGTACTCCAGAGCAGTTCTCATTCTCTCACGCTGTGTGTGCAAGCTCTTAGTTGTAGATTTGCTGTAACATGAAGCACGAGATTACATGTCCTGGGTGACAGCCCTGTTCCACCAAGCATACCTTTGGGTCAGTGAAGAGAAATAAGGAGCAGGAGGCAACTCAGACTCCTGGCAGATTGAATATTGCTCTGAGAGAACCCCTCTCTCCCGGTGATGACAGAGAGGGTCCAGGGCCCAGCAGAAAAGGGACAGATTCAGGGCATTGCTGCAGGGTATTGAACATGCTGTAGAGCAAGGTGCCAGGGCTCTGTATTGGGGGGTGCTGCTTTGGGAGCTTAGTGGCAGCAACAGGAGGTCCTGTACAGAGATCAGAATTGTGTGTGCACAAAGCTGGATGACTTCACCCCTCCTCGTGCTTGGTGTATCCATGTTAGTAGCACAGAGGCCGATGGCGTGGGCTGAATCACCTTTGGAAACACTGCTGATTCTCTGCAGGGTCCAAGAGAGTTAGACTCCTAACAAAGGGCTCAGGTAATTGCCTGTATCTCATCGGGGTGAATGGAAGGCAAAGTGAGAAATATCTTCATGTGATGTCACACGTTGCGTCGAGACAAAGCATGGCCTAAGGAAATCAATGGGGAGAGCACCTGGGTCTCTTGGAATGATCTGTGGAGGATCGGCTTTGCAGTCTGCCAGCTGTTGAATGCTCCTGTGTAGTTTGCAAGCAGGGGTAAAGATTTTTTTTTTAAAGAGTTGAAGGAGAGCATGGCAGGGCTTCGAATATTTCTGTCGAGGTTTTGCTTTGCTTTGAGGCAGTACCAGTAGTCTGGATTCCCTGGGAGCAATGCGTGCCATGCCAGCAGGTGCTCTGCCCATCCATGTGCTGCCAGCCTTCATCCTGCTGCTCTCCCCGTTTCCACTATTTCATCTTTGCTTGTGCCACTGTTTTGAATCCCCTTGCTTTGTCCCCAGCCCGTGGTGAATATTCAGAAACTTGGTCTCATTTACTGCTTTGTCCGGGTGCCAGAAATTCAAGTCCAAGGCGCTGGGGCTGCCTCTGTGCTGGGAGGACTCCCTCTCGTGGGCTCCACTGCCTGGACCTGGCCCTGAGCTCGGAGCTCAGCAACCCCTAACAGGTCCCCTTGCTTTCTCTCCAAGAACATGATTAGAGGTTTGAAACTGAGCAGACAGCTGGTATACTCTCCCAGGGCAGCCTCTGTGTCTGGGCCTCCATTGTTTTTGTCCAAATCGTATCTGATTGCTTTCCAAGAGCGTTCCAGTCCGTAAAACCAGACCAGGTGCCTTTGGTTGTACTAATTCCTGAAATACCAGCTACGAACAAAAGCATTTTGGTTTGGTCTTAGAAAGGGTATAAAATTAATTTCAATCTGGAATGTTTTTTTTTCCCCATTTAAAACACTAGAATTTTGTCTTACACTTTCCAGACACAAAACTGACCTTTTTCTAATTCCTCCTTTGGTCTTTTACCTATTTTACTGTACTACCTTTTACTAGATCATCAAAATTGCTTTCTGCCATACCGTTTTCTGAAATCTGACCTCTACATACATTCTTTGCACCTTGACCTTGGCTTTTTTACACGGTGTAAAACTAAAAGGAAGTCAGATGCTAGATTTTACAGCGATGTGCTTTCCCGTTCTGCTCAGTAATTTGCCAGAAATGAGGGGAAAAAAAAAACAACAACCCACCCAAACAACAGAAAATCTTACCTTACCATCCAAAATTGGTGGGAGGGCTTAAAAGCTCGAGTGGGCTCTCAGCCTTGGTTTAGTTCTCCCTGCCTTTAACTGCCAAGCTGAGTGCTTTGTCCCCCAGATCGCCCTTCGTCTGCACAGCAGGAGCAGTGCTGCTGGCACCGGGGTGCGGAGGGCTCTGCCAAGAAGATGGGCCCTGGTTACGGAGCGGAGATCTGCCAACCTTCTGTGCTGGGGAGTTTGCAAACTTCCACAGCGCATCTGTTTCATTTCAGACCATGGGCTGCACTGAATGGTCCTTTTGTGTGCTCTGTCTCCAGCTACTAAAGCTGGCTCTGAAGACGCCAGCGATAAATATGACAGCTTCTGTTACCGGGTATCCCCTGGATCCTGTGGCCTGACCCGCAGTCATTCTTAGCGAGTAGTAACATTTATATTGCTGTGTCAGCCTTGTTTCTTATCATGTAACCAGAGATGGGCTTGGATGAGCATGGAAAGCTTTTCTGTACCTCTGCATTCAGGGTCATTTGGAGGTCCGCAGATGGAACGGGCACTTTGCCACTGAACTATTTACCACAACAAATGCTGTGATGTTCTGTGCATCATTCAAGGAGAAAATGATGCTGCTCAAAATGGCAGGGGAGCGCTGCAAAGGAAGGCTGAATGGCACAACTGCAGATGGGCAAGGCTGCCTACCTGCAGCACGTGCTGCTACAGCAGGTTTTGGAGAGCTTTCCCATGGGTCAGTGCCTTGACGTCCCAGCAAAGCAGTGCAAGGAGGAGAGCCGTCTCATTGCACCTCTGAGCAATGAGCTCTGAATCACAGTTTCCATCAGTTGAGCTGATCTCCAAAGAGTGGTTTTGGAAAATGTGACCCGCTTCATGTCTGTTTAAACATAGGCACCAGAAAGAAGCGTGCACACCTCTGGTCCTTCAGTCGCTGGACTGTCACCAGTGTGAGACATCACCCAGTGGGAGTCACTGAAAACCCAGCTCTCCCCGTGCTGTCTCTGGACAGTGTTTGACTAGACTGCTTTTATCTCTCCAGCCTGTCTGTGGGAGTTGAATCTTTGTACAGAGCCTGCATTGCTTGGCATCTAATCTGCACTAGTTGACTCAGTCAGCCTCAGAAGGCAAGGGGGGAGGGAGATAAGTAGGAGGAAAAAAGGTGGGAGTGGAAAATAACATATTTGAGGGGACAGCAGGAAGTCTGGGCTCATTCGCATCTTGGGAATTGCTCAGGACATGACCAAGTGAGTGTTTCCTGATTCTCTTCTTTTTTTCCTTCCCTGTGGGCCAGGAAGAAAGGATGCCTGTAGGGCACTACTGGGAGAATCCCAACATGGGAGAATGGGTGATGCCCTTAGAGAATGTCACTGGAAAACCAAGTGTCCCAGGTGGAGGTAATCTTGACCCACCGAAACAGCTCAGCTACAGTGATTGTCTGTATGTTGTTTCCTGGGGTATTTGGATTTCCCTTGAAGATCACCTGTTCTGTGTTTATGTCTCAACAGCTCTCTGAATTGAGGATAATTTAATATATATTTGCCTGCTATTGTTTGTTGTTTTTATTATTCTGAAGGAAGGCTGTCCAGGTAGGGACTAATTAAGGTTCACTGGTGATGTAAAGAAAACAGGAATGATTTCTATAAGATAAAGAAATGTTGCTGGTTTTGGATCAGAGGGCTGGGGATTGTTTCAGGCCTGCAGGACATCTGAGAAGAGATGCTGTTGCGCAGGTGGAGCTGTAAAGCAGGGCAGGAAGGGAGGTGTGGTGCTGCATGTCTTCTCAAGTATTTCAGGACACCTCAACATAAAGGTTGCCATGTGAATGTCAGGTTCTGTACCCGTTATTATGAAAGTTGTGGATCTGCTCGTGCTTTTAAAGATCACTAATCTCACTTTCTCTAAGCAGGCAGAGCTGGGATCGCAGCGTGCTCCTCGCATGTTCCGTGTACTTCAAGGACTGATTAGGTCTTTTCTTTGTCTGCCCTAATTAAATCAATAAATGGCCCCTGGAGTCACCTGTGTAGCAGGTTACAAGTTGAGCTGCTGGAGGTCACTGCAGAGGGCACCCCGGCTGCCTTTGAAAAAGAAAAGGGTTTTGATCCAGAATAGTCACGATGTCCCAGTTTCCTGGTCCCTTGGGCCAGCTCGTTCCTAGAGCAGGGCTGTGAAAGCAGAGAGAAAAGAGCTGAAGAGAATTGTTTCTCTCAGGGATGAGCTAAGAAATCTGGTATTTCTGTTGTCTCACATTTTACACTGTTTACTCCAACTGTCACCTGT